ATGGAAGTTCTTTTTGCAATCTAGGACTTGCTCGTTTTGGAGGAGTGCTTAAGGATTACATGGGTGTGGAGATGTTCTCATATTATGAGTTGTGTGGGGTAGTGACAGCCAATAATGCGAAGTTATTAGCATTGTTGCATGGACTAAAACTATTGAAAGTTTGGTGTGCTAGTTTTGGTTGGGTGGTGGAAGGTGATTCATTAAATTTGATCAATTGGTGCACTGGAAATGGTAGGCCTCCATGGAAAGTTTTGGATAAAAGCTTTAGATATCTGTTATCATCAAGTGATGGTCTTTAACTATATTCATAGGGAGGCAAATGATAGGGCAGATTCTTTGGCTAAAGATGGGGTGGTGGTTGACCAGTTGCTTGTTTCTTCTTTATCATTGTAATATTGATGTTTTCCATTTGTGATTAATAAAGTTTTGTGATCTTGTCAAAATAAAATAAAAAACCCAAAATTCTCAATTGTAACGGTATTCCCATCAATCATGACCCCACATGTTGGGGTTGGGTTGGCACATAAGAAAATAAGTATAAAATTGAGCATAACCTACACTGAAATGGCGCCCAAGAGAACAACAAGAAGAGCATTGCAGCATACAGGAGGTGGCTGTGACACACAACCAGCGACCAAAATTACCAAAAAAAAGAATAGGTCAAATGAGAAATGACAGAGAGAGAGAGAGAGAGAGTAGAATACAATCAAGCAAAACAGTTAAAATGAAATGAAGATAGAACAAATGACGAGGGGGAGAGAAGGCAAGCTCTAAACAACTCCTCAAAAAAATTGTATCTAACTACTCAGAGGAATGTCAAGCCACCATAAGGGAACATAAAATACCTTGATAGGGCTCACGAGGGCCCCTATAGGCTACACCCCATCTCAAGTGTTCACCAAGGCATGAGAGATGACTATGATAGGATACCGATCCCAACACAAGAGGAAATCTCATCTTAGGAGTTAACCTACTTAGGGGAGAAGATAGTCAAAGGGAGGAAAGGCAGCCGAAAATCAAGAACATGACATCGATAAAAGGTGGAAAGCGACAAAAGACAATAGGAAAGAGGAAGGGATGAAATGGAGAGATGAAAAAAAGATAGAGAAGGGAGAAACAGGGTGGGGGAGAGGAAAAAGAAAGAGGGGTTAAGCTAAGAATGCAAAAAAAAGTACAAACAAAAACAAAAGATATAAAAGAGAGAGATGGAGAAGGGGAGAGCGAGGTGGAAGGCAAGAGACAACAAGAGATGGAGAAAACAGAGACAAAGGAGGGGGGAGGAGAGAGAGTGAGAGAGATGGCAAATAACGAAGAGGGTTGAGGAAAGCAAAAAATGATTGAACGAGGGAAGGAGGGGAAGAGAGAAAAAAGAGATACAAAACAAAAAAACTAAAAAAATATAATAAGAGCTAGGTAAAGAAAAAAAAGTGAAAAAAAGAAGGAAAAGAAAGAGAGAGATAGAATTAGATCTTAGACACATCTAAGAAAACATGGCTCAGATTTAAGTCTAAAGACTCATATCTAAATCCAAAAAAAAGGTGGGGGTGAGAAAAAGAACCAAAAGGTAAAAGCGCCAAAAAGCCAAGTCACCAGAGGTCACAAGTTGCTAAAAGTGGGTCACCAGTGGCTTGTCGAAAGCTCACTAGAGGTTGCAAGGCTGAAGGTCTCAAGTCCCAAAAACTTGTCGGTGGTCTTTCATCTCAAAAACATTTTTGCCATGGGAACAATCATAAATCACTCCTCCAGAAAGTAGTATCCTACAATGTCTCTAGAAGTAGTATCATTTTTTATTCTTGCAACACATATTCCCTTTAACTTTGGCTTAACTCTCTTTCTTTTTTTTTCCGTTTTTTTTTTGGAGAAGTGTTGGCTTCTTTTATTAATAAACTACTGGAAAAAGGTTACATTGTCAGAAACAATCAGTGAGGGTAAGGATGCTCCTCCCGTAGCAAGTGAATCAACCAACCCATTGGCTTCCCTATTGTTATGTACAAATGAAATAGTTAAAGAACTTGTCCAAAACCTGCAAAAAAGTAGGTCTAAACTTTCCACTGAGCCTTCGGTGTAACTCTCTCTCTAATTTTTATCGCCCTCTCTCTCTACAATCAAAAAATACATATCCTACAATCTCTCTAAAATCTTTTTTTATTCTTGCGACATGTGTCTACTACTTTGGCTTAATAGTGTAGTATAGATATAGATAACCATTGATATTACTAATAAATGAAGAAGTTATAATATGAGCTAACCATTTTGTTAATCCGACTATGAATGGAGTACTATCATTTTTCAATAACACTTCCCTCGTTAGACGAGTAACGATCTCTAATAAATGGACTAATTTAACGAACAATAGGAAAAAGCAACTTCCCAGATACCACAAGAAATAGTTTCCCAAATATTATCAAACAAAAGAAACTAGTTTGTCACATAACTCAAACCTAGTTTGCGAATAGGGAAAATATTTTCTTGATAGATCATGTTCCTCTTAAATTAATTTCTTTAGTTCCAATGAGAACATTTTCCCTATTCACAAATGTGCAGACAAAGCATTGTTACACTACCACCCACTTTTTCTATTGTGCCATGAGTGTAGACACTCTTATGACAACTTGACTGTAGACACTCTTATGACAACTTTAAAAGTAAGACCTATGCGACTTTTTGCCGGTGAATATAAATTTTTTTTTTAATTACTCTTTTTTCCTTGGCAAAAAGATCACTTACAGATGGTCATATTACAATAAATAAATGTTTCAAAATAAAGGTAACTTAACAATAAAATAAAACTCAACCACTTGATGTCATTTATACAACTAAATACTACGCTTAAGAATAAAAATAAATTGTATGAAATAAAAGAAGATGTTGGAGATTACTTCAACCGGGTTTATTACACCCCACACCGAGTCACCAACATCTGATAACGCGGGATCAGCAGTCTAGCTTCAATCTCGAACTGGGAAAGTCAATTTCGGTTAAACTGAATAAGTACCCTTAAATCTCTATAAAACCCTAACCCCAAAATAATTTAGGCTCAACCCTAATTTCTCAAACCTTAATACCTAGGTCGAGAGAGAGAGAGAGTAAGAGGCTTAGGGTTGGGGCATGTCCCCCTATGGGTCTTTAGGAGAGAGAGAGGGTTAGAGAGAGAGTTGTGCGAGAGAGAAGGTGTAGATAATAAGAGACGGTACATCCCTATTTATAGTGCAAAGTTAAGTTTATGGTTTCTTAGGGTTTCTCGCAGTTTGCTTCTTTCCTGAGACTGAATATGGACCGTTGATCAGGGTGACTTGTGGGGTAAGAGATCTGAGTCATCCATTTCATAGATGGGTCATCAGCATTATGGAAGGTTCATGAACTATTATCCCATTTTTTTTAAACCATTTTCCCATCAATATTTTATAAATAAATTAAATCTAATAACATATTGTTCATTCCATAAATAGCATGTTCTATCTCTTATTTTCCATAATAATATAACAAGTCAAGATATTCCTTCAATAATCAAGATAAAATATGATCAATATTTCCAAATCAATATTTGACCATATGCTACAAGATAGAGTTACTATATTTAATTAACTTGTACACAAAGTAATCAAGAGGAGGCATCCAAGGGTGGGGCGTGCCACCCATATGAGGCACGTGCGGCCCCACCCAATACCTACATGGTTGGCCATGTGTATTATGGGCCCCCCATGTAATTTTCATAAGTATTTTTAAAATTAAACAAAATGAATTTTAAAACATTATAACTTTGTTAATTAATAACTTCATTTTATAAGTCCAAAAATAATAAATAAAATATCAAATAACTTATAAAAATTTAAATAATGAATCTAAAATAATTTTTATAATAAAATAAACACAATTAAATTAATATGATGGGAAATAGGTCCATATAGTTCAAGAATTCGATCAACGATCACGGGGTACTCCACCTTCAACAGTAAACTACAGACCACATTTGCTTTATCAAACCGACCCAGTGTTTCCCATGACCCACAGTCTAAGTAGGGACTCATTAGCAAGTCACCAGAGTCGCCGATGAACCAAGGGGTCGCAATCCCAGTTTGTGGATTACAAGTCCTTCCCTATAGACGAGTCAAGGTCACCACGACCTGATGCGACTACAGCTTTATAGTGCATAAGGGTATCTCTCGCACAAGCATACGCTTCACCCAAAAGTTGATATCTGGTTTTCCCAAATGATCTATCGATATGCATACCGTATAATGGATCATAGATGAGGTTTTGTACTCCCATCTCTATAGACCTACCATCACACACAAAAGTCACACTCCATCGACTCACTCATCCAGGCATAAGCTCACACAAAAGTCACACAATCTCTCTACTCACTCATCCAAGCATAAGCTCCGACCTCATCAAGAGATAACTCATAACCCTTCTCAGTTTATTCTCTATGCTCAAGTATCATGGGTTTTTCAACCGACTGGCCTAGATCATCAAGCACATCCCGACATCAACAAACATCATTTGCTTAATATGATCCCTAAGAGACCATACTCCGATTGATCTTATGTTCCACTATAATAAATATTTTTCATTACATACTCATAAAACTTTTAAAAACCACATAAACCCAACAAATTTAACCATATTCAAGCGTATACAATCCTATACTTAAAAAAACAGTGTTTCAAAACCCAGATCATCCACCCACAAATCCATCACTACTCAACTATCCGGATTGGGTCTAAATCGGTCCCAATCAATGATCCAAAAAATACTAAAAAGTTAATAGATTTAAAACCCGGTAAAAAGAAACCCCAAAAAATGCCCTATGCAAACAACATTTAGTGCTTTTCTGATTATTTTTTAAGAAGAGAAAGTCAATGAATTTGCAAAAACTCCTTCCAATATGGCAAAAATCACATGGGAAACCAAAAAGGATGCGTAAAAACAATATTAGCTCCTACAGGCCTATACCAAATCCATATTTAAAAGGTGTAGTAACAGGAATCCACATCAGCTTTGAAACGAAAATATTGCATCCACATACTGCTCATTACAACCCAAATTTGAAAGAGAGAGAGAGAGAGTGTATCACCCATGATCTAAAGGCATCAATTCATGGCTCAGAAATTCAAAAACCTGTACTTCCTGTGGATGACAAAATAATGAAAAATCCAAATAAAAGAGGAAAATTCAAGCAGTCTTGGTCTCAGAATACTATGCTAATTCACACTTAACAAAATCACACTGCTCTGATCAAACAAACTTTGGTTACACCACCCATGGATACGGTTAGGTGTCCAAATTGTGACGTCACAAGATTTATATATCACCATAGTTGTTCAAATGTCGCAAGAAGCTTCACAATAACCAGAGAAAAGTTGGTGGGAGACGCAAAAGAAGCTAGAAGGCAAGAAACCCATCATCATACATCTGCAAAGCAAGGCATGGGCAATGCTTAATCAGAAAATCAAAGATTGGACCCAACTTGCTCATTAGGCAAACCCTCACATCGTTGCATTTTCTTGTACTAGGGCTCTCTTTGCTTTCCCATAAGGCTTCAGTGGTTAACTCCGTTTAACACACCCAGTGTAAATTAGGTCAAGTAAAGCTGTTTTTTCCCTTTTCAGGTATCCAATCTAGCAGAAGGCTCTGTTTGTGGTTCTTCTATGGGATTCTCAGAAGATGGAGGAGATGAAGGGGGAGGAGCATCTGTGGAGTCAGCGCTCTCCGGATGAAAATTGATGGGGAATTTCGTAACCCTGGGCTTGTCGGCCAATATGTTCCTCTGCACCCTATCAATCAAAACCCTGGGGGGAGGTTCCTCTCTCAACTGCTCATCATCATAGTCATTGTTCACATAGTAACCTACTCTGATGAACTCCTGACCCATGTAAGAGCAGGTCAAAAGCAGCACAGTCACACCAATGATGTCCTCATCAGGGATCTTTGTGGGATCTGGTGGGTCAGCCTGAGACAACAAAAATAATTTTTTGAACTAAATTTTCATATACTATGAAAATAAACAAAGTCAAGCATGATCCCAAGGAGTATGGCATCCGGCACCCATTTCTAATGATGGACGATGGAGATCAACCATAGTGGGGTCATTTAAGCACTTTGTTTTTTTGAGAAAATATCTCCCTATCCTCTCTTTACCTTTCATATCTCATGAAACTCAAGAATTGAAAATATTACTTGTAAGCAAAAGGCCTCCATTTTTTCTATCTTACAACCCCCTGGACCCCTTTAACCATAAATTTTTTACCCAAACAAATACTAAAATGACACCCTTTTCAAACTCCATCTCTCTTTCTATAAAACTCCATCTCTCTCTCTTCGCTTCTTGATGAGTTTACCAGCCAAGGGTTTAGCGTGAGCTCGAACACGAGCACACCTTCTTATGTGTGAGAGAGAGATGGAGTTTGGGTTTTAGAGAGAGAGATATGAAGTTTTAAGAGAGAGATGGAGTTTGAGTTTTAGAAAGAGAGATGGAGTTTTGAGAGAGAGAGAGACGATGATGTGAGAGAGAGAGAGATGAAGTTTGGATTTTAAAAAGAGATAGAGTTTTGAGAGAGAGAGAGACGATGATGTGAGAGAGCTGGAGTTTTAGAGAGAGATATATATAGAGTCATTTCATAAATCGTTGAGGTCAATAATACATGATCAAAAGGGTATAGGGGGTTAGAAAATAGAAAAGATAGAATCATTTTGCTTACAAGTAATATTTTCAATTCTTAGGTCTGACAAGATATAAAAATAGAGGATAATAGGATATATTCACTTGTTTTTTTCCTTTTGGGTAGATCAGCAGTAGGAATTAAACTTCAAATGTAGATGGAATCTTGAGAGAGAGAGAGACGGTGATGTGAGAGAGATGGAATTTTAGATAGAGATATATATAGAGTCATTTCATAAGTTGTTGAGGTCAATAATACATGGTCAAAAGGGTTTAGGGGGTTAAAAGATAGAAAAGATGAAGTCAGTTTGCTTACAAGCAATATTTTTAATTCTTGGGTCTAATGAGATATAAAAGTTAAAAATAGGGGTTAATAGGATATTTTCACTTGTTTTTTTCCTTCAGATGTAGCATGATAACATCATTTGCTAACCACTCAATAGGGGTGTCAATGGGTCGGGTCCAGCTGAACCCAGACTCGGGATAGACTATATATACCCAGACTCAAACCCGTACCCAACAGGCCTAATTTTTATATACCAGTACCCATACCCGACGGGCACTCTTGGACCCGAGACCCCGAACCCGGACCCGGACCCAAACCCAGACCCGGATTTGGACCCGGACCCGGATACTTGCCAATAAAAAGGTTTGACAATAGGCTGGGTCATTGCTTGAAGTACCCCAATGCCTCTGCTTTTATAGAACACAACTTATTTCTTTCTATCCCCATTGATGTGGGATTAATCTTAATAGACAATAAGACAACAGCCTACCTCTCTTTTAAACTTAATGTTAGGGATGTTGTTTTTGAAAAAATGACGCGGGCAGCCCACTTGTTTTGCCAAGGCAAACTCATGCATGTCACTTTAATAACCTTATTTGTCTTTTTTAAACTTAATGTTTGGGATTTTGTTTTTGAAAACCACATGGGCAGCCCACCTTTTTTGCCAAGGCATGTCACTTTAATAACCTTATTGGTGCAGATTATTAGGTGGTCGGTGAGAGGGGCAAAAGAGAGAGAGAAAATTGTGATTGCTTTGTGGGTTAAACGAACTTTTAGTCCTACATCCAAATATTTAGAAAGGTAAGGTGAGGGAGTTAGCCACCCTTACCACTCAAACCCATGCCAAAGTCCAGCTCAACTAGAGTTAAATCTCCACCACGTCATCAAAAACAGATGATGGATGTACCTCTTGGAGCTCCATATGCCACTATTAGATTAAGGTGCACTTTCCAATAAAGGAACAAGCAAAAAGCTTCAATAAAAACAGAGACTACCTTTTTATAACAAAATGATTGAATATTAATACCAATAAAGGGATAAATGCTTTAATAAATGAATGGTAGAATAACCTGGAATACAAATCGGTAATTTCCAACATTGATCGGCCCCACAAGCACACTCTCCAGCAGCTGATCATATGTCTCATCTTCGGCCGAACCAACATATATGAGCTTCCATTCCAGATCTGTGCAAAATCAAAATAAAAGATGAAATCCATTGTAACCTGAAGAAAGTTAAAGAAGCACATACTTGAAATGAATTAATGGATGACAGCAATTGTATAGAGTACTCACTGCATAAGATTTCAGAATTATTCTCAATAGAGCAATAGATTTCGAATGAAAGATGAGAAATACAAGAGTGCATGAAAAAAAAGGAAACACAATGCCAGTTACACTAGTTTCTTGTAAATTGCCAGTAATTCCTGTACATCATCATCACAATTTTATTAACAAGAGAGTAAATTAAGGCTTGGTAGAATTTATCATTACTTTGGCAGAGTTACAATGTGAACCTCCATTTTTTAACTTTTGAAGATACGCGTAAAGAATTTTCTAGAATACAGCAGGGCTACAACGCATCAAATTTCTTAGCAATAACAATGCCCGCGCCACCTAAACCAAAATACAATTTAAGGACCGTCCATAAAGCCAACAATTCCAATCATGTAAATGTGGCTATCCTTATACATATGAAGATGAAAAAAATTATATAGAGCCGAGGCTCTAAACAATCAAATAGGAGCCCACCTCAAAAATTTCACTAGAAGAGGTTGTTTTAATACCAAAATATCCTCAATCAAATTTCAAATAGCCCATCAAATGACACATCGAAATGGGCTTTAAAATTTACTAGTCTACAGCTAAAGTAAAATTTTAAATAATTCTGCAAATATATCTTGATAAATTTCACATCAAGATGCATGGACATGAGAAAAATTAGATTTCAAGTTTTGGAAATAGTGCATCTTGTAACGCATTTTTTGACAGTCAATTTTCAAGATTTTCAAGTTTTCATAGATCTGCTCGATCTACACTATTTTTTAAGCATTAAATTTTATAATTAAATATGAAAATACATTTTAAGGCTATCACAAAGATTTCCAATATTGAAACCACATTTCTCGACACTATATGACGGTCCACTTTACTTTTATTGTTTAGAGCCTCGGCTCTATACAAACTGCACCCTATGAAGATTGGAGTCAGCTTTAACTAAACATCCAGAACTGACAACTCATTCAGTGGATTCAATGTTTGCTGGGGCCAAGCATATATATTAACAATATTCCCAAGCACAAGATGAGTAAACGCCTTAAAAATGGAATGGGAATCCCACTAAACATCATGATATTTCCCAAGAAAGTATCAGAATTAATTAAAGCAATGCAGTGAAAAGTAAACCAGGCTTTTTTTAAAAAAAAAAAATTATATTCAAAAAAATTCCAACACTACAGCAACATCAACATACTCAATTTTAAGCTTCAATACATATAGTTCAGAACCAATCAGCACCCAGGAGGCAAAAAAAATACAATAAGAAATTAAGAAAGTCACAGAAGAGGAGTTTGTGCAAGGAAGTGGAACACTTAATTTGGATCAGGAAATATTCTAGGGACCTCGTAATTTTTATTTATTTGGCTTTGATAGATGAAACTTACTCAAGTTTACATATTGTTCATTGCCTTATTGGGTTCAGTTTTTCATTTTCTTTTCAAATAAATGCCACAACTGTTTTTGGACAAGTAACAACATAATATTCACATCAATCCATCCAAACCAATGCACAATTGACATGCATGTAAGTGTCATAATCATCGACAGCTACCTAATGAAGCCCAAGCCTCATTCCTACCCATTCTACAAGCTTCCAATGAAGAGAAGCAATTCAACGCTCAGGCAAGAGGAAAGACACATGGAAGCAGGCAACATGAATGCACATGCACAGTCGCTTCCTTTACACCAAAGGCCACCACCACCATCCATCACCCACCATCTCCCAAACATCCACAACCTCAAACTTCCTCCCCTAAACTCCTTCCAACAACATACTCGTTCTCCCATCATCGAAGAAAAAGCCAAGCCATGGCTTGGGAAGCTATGAAAACTGTTATATGACGTGGTAGGTGCTACTTCACCACCCTTGAGTTTCCTCAAATCTAGCTATTCCCAAACTAGATCTAAGGACTGAAAATCACTGGTGATACTCAATAGAGAAGAATTCATCAAGGCTAAACCTGATTTCCAACCATCTTATAGGAACCAAACCATCATGGAGCTTCTTGTTAGAAAAAACCAAACCCATGTAGGTGATACAAGGGAAGATAAACAATATCTGCAAGGGCTAGGATCACATCTTGTTCTAAATCAGAAAGGAAGAGGCCATGGAAGATTCTTGGAGGCTGGCACCAATCTCAAACTCCAAAAATGGATGGGCAGGGACTTCCACAGAACCCAAAACCAAAACTCAATTGACTTAGATCTGCCTAAAAAATTTGCCCAAGTATTGTTGGATGAATGTCTCACTGGGCACATATAGCTTCTGCATTTGGAAAACCAATTGCAATGCATAGTGCAACTAAAGAAAAAAAAGTAAATGGAATGCGCTCGAGTTTGTATGGAGGTAAAATTCAAGCACCACTCCGCAAAAAACTCTAATAGATGCAGGGTTTGAAAGGAATCTCGTGAATATGAACTGCGTCAAAGCGGTCCTCAATGGCTATTTTTGGACATTCAACAATGAGGCAGTAGATAATTTAATCAACACAATAGTGAAACTAGATCGGCAGCTTAAAAAAAAACTTCAGGCTGAACTGTTCAGCAACAGCAACAAGAGCAGTGATCAGTCCTTAAAAGGGAGAATGAAAAGAAAGGAACTGATACGATTAAAATCAGCAACTTGCACTCAGAATATGAACTACTAACAGACATAGAAAGCTAAGGTGTGGAGGACCAACGAAAAGGATTACAAGGATGGGGAACATGAAGGAGATCAAGAAGCATTGGCTGTGGAGATACTAAGCTAAGAAATGGGAAAGATTCCTCAAATGAATCAATCAGCCTTGTTGCGGATAAGAATGGCGAGTCTTCAGAAACAAACAGAGGTAAAGAATCAAGGAACCCAGATGGAGAAACAGAGGAAGAAAGATTCAGTGAAGAGAGATGAGAAATATTGTCCTGTGAAAAACTCACATGGAAGAAGAAACAGGTGGGAGTTTTCCATTGACTGAAATTTCTGCGGAAACTGAGGATATTCCAAGCCAACAGCTATTTGATGCTCAAGCCCAGTTCTAAATTTCGTGATCCAAGGGGTCAATTCAAACTTGAAAGGATTTACAGCAGATCCACACTTCTCAGTGGACCAATCGAATTTTGCAAAAGGCCCATACAATTCATTGGTGGTCTCCAAATTTTGGACGACCCATGCATGCCCAATCAAATCCCGAATTCCAAGAGGGTCCAAATTGAAGCAACTCAACATTACACAACTCAACAGGAACGGATGCTACCATTCCAAAAGAAGCCCCAAACTTTCCCAAAATTATATATGATTTAAAGTATAATATAGAGAAAATGTGATTTAGAACAAAAGAAGAATGCAGAAGATACACTAGCTGCTGAAATGCAGTGGACAGCAGTGCAAAAGTAATAGAGTACTGATAGTCTGATACTATATACAGCATAGCACCGACTGCACTACCAGAATGTACACGGCAATACAGGTAGCACAATTTTCTGGAAAATGCTAAGAGGGGCTCATAAATATTATATTTCAATTTAACAGCTCTACATAAAGAATGCGAATCAAAAAGTCATGGCTCTAAGGAAACGAGCTTGGGTCCAGACGGTAGAGGCTAGGTTTTCATAGCCCAACATCTCAAGTTCCAATCCTATGTAACCTTGTCAAAAAAAAAAGGCATAACGCAAACTAGATAACAAAAATTCATTGCTCGCATGATTCGTCCACTAACTCCTCACCGCACCCCCAAACCATATGCATAGTTAATCCATTGATACCATTCCTTTTTTGTTTTCTTTTTTTTAAAGAAATCCACTGATACATTCTCCTTAAAGAGACACTACATTGACATATATGCAATGTAACAAGCAGAAATGAGTGATTTCACTAATAGGAATACTTATTTATGATGTTTTAAGCTTTTGTAAGGTTTAATCATAGAATCGATTAAGCACATTAGGTTAACAAGGAAAGATACTCAAATTCAAAAAGCAAAACATAATCAATATAATATTTAAGAGGAAAGTTTCCCAAAATAGCAGCACATTCGTACGGCCACCCCAATATTAACACCTCTCGTTTTCCATTCCATTTTTAGGAAACCAAACTTCTCAATTGGAAAATTTCTGAAAAAATAGAGGGAAAATCTGCCTAACATGGTATGAAACAAGCAATAAGATAATTATTAATAGCTGCCAGATACTTTACCAAAACACCTAGTAACTTAGTTTATTCATTTAGAAGTCACCACATTTCTCAAAAGAAAAACAGGAAAAGAAAGAAAAGAGGTCACCACTTCATCATCATCCGAAGCTTATCTCAACTATTTGAGGTCCACCACATGAATCTTGTTCCGCCATTTTGTTCTATCAAGGGCCATACCCTTAATAAAACCATAAGTCACTTCGTATATAGGGAACGCCCTAACATGAGCATATATAACATAGGTTCAGGTCTTCAGGATTCATGAAAAATGTTGACAAAGTTTTACAATGGCTACCTACCTAACACAACTCTCCTCTTTTATCCGGGCTTGGGACTGGTATGACCAATATGGGGCCCGCCAAGGCGGAGTTAAAAGAGGTCACCACTTACATGAGTTAATTTCTAGTTATCTAAGACAAGGGATTTTCATGCTCATGATACCCCCACTGAAAAAAGTATGCCCCTGATCTTCCAAAGAGTATCCTTATGTCTTCCCATTTCCTGCATCTTCCTAATGCTTAGGTCTTCCCCGCCATTAACTTTGAGGCCTCAAAGCTGTCTAACAGCCAACTTGCTCCAAGCTTCGGGAACCATTCCACTTCCCCAATAATCTTTTTTATTTTTCTCAGTGATCTAGGGTATATAAAATAATCTCTCATAATTTAAGGTCTAATATTTAATAACCTCCACAACCTTTTATCAAAACTAGCAAGAACAAACGTTGTTCCATTGCCGACAGTT